ATGTACAACATATTCATTAACCATCAAACTTGGATGTCCACTAGGGGGCACATGTCTGGGACTGCTTTAGACTGTGAAATATAAACAAGGGTAAAACAGATGTTATGCCTGTACCTCCCCACAGGACCACCAGAGGGAGCTGAAGAGTTTGTGTTTTTCCACATTTGAATATTACCCACGTCAGACAGACACGCGCTCTGAGTGTGATGTCATAGTGAGGCCATAGTGATGTCATAATAGTACAATGACATCATACAGACTTTCAGACAGAAGGGGCGGAGCTGCAGGTGTGATAATAACGTGGATGGCTCAAAAATACGTCTCCTTTAACCCTGGGATCTGGGAAAACAGCCACAAAAAGAATCTTACTCCATAATCCACATGTGACGTGTAATATGCTCTGATAGAACCCAAACAGAACCCAGCAGAACCCAACAGGACCAAACAGGACCAAACATGACCAAACAAAACCAAACCGAACCAAACCGAACCCAAAAGAACCCAACAGAACCAGATGCAGCTCCTGTGTTCACAGGGATGTGGCAGAAGTCCTTGTTGCAGACGGTTCTGAGAAAATTGTGGCTGTGATTTAGGACGATACACGAATAAATGAGACCTCTGGACTGTCTCAGAGACCTGTGGACTGTCGTAGACACCTATGGACTGTCTCAGAGACCTCTGGACTGTCGTAGGGACCTCTGGACTGTCTCAGAGACCTCTGGACTGTCGTAGGGACCTCTGGACTGTCTCAGAGACCTCTGGACTGTCTCAGAGACCTCTGGACTGTCGTAGGGACCTCTGGGCTGTTGTAGAGACCTCTGGACTGTCTCAGAGACCTCTGAACTGTCGTAGGGACCTCTGGACTGTTGTAGAGACCTCTGGACTGTCTCAGAAACCTCTGGACTGTCGTAGAGACCTCTGGACTGTTGTAGAGACCTCTGGACTGTCTCAGAAACCTCTGGACTGTCGTAGAGACCTCTGGACTGTCGTAGAGACCTCTGGACTGTCTCAGAGACCTCTGGACTGTCGTAGAGACCTCTGGACTGTCTCAGAAACCTCTGGACTGTCGTAGAGACCTCTGGACTGTCGTAGAGACCTCTGGACTGTCTCAGAGACCTCTGGACTGTCTCAGAGACCTCTGGACTGTCTCAGAGACCTCTGGACTGTCGTAGAGACCTCTGGACTGTCGTAGAGACCTCTGGACTGTCTCAGAGACGTTTCTTGGTTGTATCGTCCGAGGACAAGCTCCTGGAACATTCTTTTGTTTCTGTAAACACAAAGACACAGAGAGAGACAAAGTGTCTAATGTTTTACTGCAGCACAGGTACATTTATCAAGAACCATCTGTCTGTCTGTCTGTGTGTGTCTGTCTGTCTGTGTGTGTCTGTGTGTGTGTGTCTGTGTGTCTGTGTGTGTGTGTGTGTGTGTGTGTGTGTGTGTGTGTGTGTATGTGTGTGTGTGTGTGTGTGTGTGCTGATTGTGTTGTTATTGAGGACCCTGGAGAACGAGACGATGCAACTCCAGCGGCTGTTCCTCGTAATAAAGATAATAAACAACTGTGATGTAGCTAACGCTGTGACGCTATGAAGCTAACGCTAATGAGAGCTACATTACAATATGTCCTGTCAGTGATGTCACATGTCCTCAGTGTCAGTGATGTCAGAGTCAGTGATGTCACATGTCTTCAGAGTCAGTGATGTCACATGTTCTCAGAGTCAGTGATGTCACATGTTCTCAGAGTCAGTGATGTCACATGTCTTCAGTGTCAGTGATGTCAGAGTCAGTGATGTCACATGTCTTCAGAGTCAGTGATGTCACATGTTCTCAGAGTCAGTAATGTCACATGTCTTCAGAGTCAGTGATGTCACATGTCTTCAGAGTCAGTGATGTCACATGTCTTCAGTGTCAGTGATGTCACATGTCTTCAGAGTCAGTGATGTCACATGTCCTCAGTGTCAGTGATGTCAGAGTCAGTGATGTCACATGTCCTCAGTGTCAGTGATGTCACATGTCTTCAGAGTCAGTGATGTCACATGTCTTCAGAGTCAGTGATGTCACATGTCTTCAGTGTCAGTGATGTCACATGTCTTCAGAGTCAGTGATGTCACATGTCTTCAGAGTCAGTGATGTCACATGTTCTCAGTGTCAGTGATGTCACATGTCTTCAGAGTCAGTGATGTCACATGTCTTCAGAGTCAGTGATGTCACATGTTCTCAGTGTCAGTGATGTCACATGTCCTCAGAGTCAGTGATGTCACATGTTCTCAGAGTCAGTGATGTCACATGTCTTCAGAGTCAATGATGTCACATGTCTTTAGAGTCAGTGATGTCACATGTCTTCAGTGTCAGTGATGTCACATGTTCTCAGTGTCAGTGATGTCACATGTCTTCAGAGTCAGTGATGTCACATGTTCTCAGAGTCAGTGATGTCACATGTCTTCAGTGTCAGTGATGTCACATGTCCTCAGTGTCAGTGATGTCACATGTCTTCAGAGTCAGTGATGTCACATGTCTTCAGAGTCAGTGATGTCACATGTCTTCAGAGTCAGTGATGTAACATGTCTTCAGAGTCAGTGATGTCACATGTCTTCAGTGTCAGTGATGTCACATGTCCTCAGTGTCAGTGATGTCACATGTCTTCAGAGTCAGTGATGTCACATGTCTTCAGAGTCAGTGATGTCACATGTCTTCAGAGTCAGTGATGTCACATGTCTTCAGTGTCAGTGATGTCAGAGTCAGTGATGTCACATGTCTTCAGAGTCAGTGATGTCACATGTCTTCAGAGTCAGTGATGTCACATGTCTTCAGTGTCAGTGATGTCACATGTTCTCAGTGTCAGTGATGTCACATGTCTTCAGAGTCAGTGATGTCACATGTCTTCAGAGTCAGTGATGTCACATGTTCTCAGTGTCAGTGATGTCACATGTCCTCAGAGTCAGTGATGTCACATGTTCTCAGTGTCAGTGATGTCACATGTCCTCAGAGTCAGTGATGTCACATGTTCTCAGAGTCAGTGATGTCACATGTCTTCAGAGTCAGTGATGTCACATGTCTTTAGAGTCAGTGATGTCACATGTCTTCAGTGTCAGTGATGTCACATGTTCTCAGTGTCAGTGATGTCACATGTCTTCAGAGTCAGTGATGTCACATGTTCTCAGAGTCAGTGATGTCACATGTCTTCAGAGTCAGTCATGTCACATGTCTTCAGTGTCAGTGATGTCACATGTCTTCAGTGTCAGTGATGTCACATGTTCTCAGTGTCAGTGATGTCACATGTCTTCAGAGTCAGTGATGTCACATGTCTTCAGTGTCAGTGATGTCACATGTCCTCAATGTCAGTGATGTCAGAGTCAGTGATGTCACATGTCTTCAGAGTCAGTGATGTCACATGTCTTCAGAGTCAGTGATGTCACATGTCTTCAGAGTCCGTGATGTCACATGTCCTCAGTGTCAGTGATGTCAGAGTCAGTGATGTCACATGTCTTCAGAGTCAGTGATGTCACATGTCTTCAGAGTCAGTGATGTCACATGTCTTCAGTGTCAGTGATGTCACATGTCTTCAGAGTCAGTGATGTCACATGTCGTCAGAGTCAGTGATGTCACATGTCCTCAGTGTCAGTGATGTCAGAGTCAGTGATGTCACATGTCTTCAGAGTCAGTGATGTCACATGTCCTCAGTGTCAGTGATGTCAGAGTCAGTGATGTCACATGTCCTCAGTGTCAGTGGTGTCACATGTCTTCAGAGTCAGTGATGTCACATGTCTTCAGAGTCAGTGATGTCACATGTCCTCAGTGTCAGTGATGTCACATGTTCTCAGAGTCAGTGATGTCACATGTCTTCAGAGTCAGTGATGTCACATGTTCTCAGAGTCAGTAATGTCACATGTCTTCAGAGTCAGTGATGTCACATGTCTTCAGAGTCAGTGATGTCACATGTCTTCAGTGTCAGTGATGTCACATGTCTTCAGAGTCAGTGATGTCACATGTCCTCAGTGTCAGTGATGTCAGAGTCAGTGATGTCACATGTCCTCAGTGTCAGTGATGTCACATGTCTTCAGAGTCAGTGATGTCACATGTCTTCAGAGTCAGTGATGTCACATGTCTTCAGTGTCAGTGATGTCACATGTCTTCAGAGTCAGTGATGTCACATGTCTTCAGAGTCAGTGATGTCACATGTTCTCAGTGTCAGTGATGTCACATGTCTTCAGAGTCAGTGATGTCACATGTCTTCAGAGTCAGTGATGTCACATGTTCTCAGTGTCAGTGATGTCACATGTCCTCAGAGTCAGTGATGTCACATGTTCTCAGAGTCAGTGATGTCACATGTCTTCAGAGTCAGTGATGTCACATGTCTTTAGAGTCAGTGATGTCACATGTCTTCAGTGTCAGTGATGTCACATGTTCTCAGTGTCAGTGATGTCACATGTCTTCAGAGTCAGTGATGTCACATGTTCTCAGAGTCAGTGATGTCACATGTCTTCAGTGTCAGTGATGTCACATGTCCTCAGTGTCAGTGATGTCACATGTCTTCAGAGTCAGTGATGTCACATGTCTTCAGAGTCAGTGATGTCACATGTCTTCAGAGTCAGTGATGTAACATGTCTTCAGAGTCAGTGATGTCACATGTCTTCAGTGTCAGTGATGTCACATGTCCTCAGTGTCAGTGATGTCACATGTCTTCAGAGTCAGTGATGTCACATGTCTTCAGAGTCAGTGATGTCACATGTCTTCAGAGTCAGTGATGTCACATGTCTTCAGTGTCAGTGATGTCAGAGTCAGTGATGTCACATGTCTTCAGAGTCAGTGATGTCACATGTCTTCAGAGTCAGTGATGTCACATGTCTTCAGAGTCAGTGATGTCACATGTCTTCAGAGTCAGTGATGTCACATGTCTTCAGAGTCAGTGATGTCACATGTCTTCAGAGTCAGTGATGTCACATGTCCTCAGTGTCAGTGATGTCAGAGTCAGTGATGTCACATGTCTTCAGAGTCAGTGATGTCACATGTCTTCAGAGTCAGTGATGTCACATGTCTTCAGTGTCAGTGATGTCACATGTCTTCAGAGTCAGTGATGTCACATGTCCTCAGTGTCAGTGATGTCAGAGTCAGTGATGTCACATGTCTTCAGAGTCAGTGATGTCACATGTCCTCAGTGTCAGTGATGTCAGAGTCAGTGATGTCACATGTCCTCAGTGTCAGTGGTGTCACATGTCTTCAGAGTCAGTGATGTCACATGTCTTCAGAGTCAGTGATGTCACATGTCCTCAGTGTCAGTGATGTCACATGTTCTCAGAGTCAGTGATGTCACATGTCTTCAGAGTCAGTGATGTCACATGTTCTCAGAGTCAGTAATGTCACATGTCTTCAGAGTCAGTGATGTCACATGTCTTCAGAGTCAGTGATGTCACATGTCTTCAGTGTCAGTGATGTCACATGTCTTCAGAGTCAGTGATGTCACATGTCCTCAGTGTCAGTGATGTCAGAGTCAGTGATGTCACATGTCCTCAGTGTCAGTGATGTCACATGTCTTCAGAGTCAGTGATGTCACATGTCTTCAGAGTCAGTGATGTCACATGTCTTCAGTGTCAGTGATGTCACATGTCTTCAGAGTCAGTGATGTCACATGTCTTCAGAGTCAGTGATGTCACATGTTCTCAGTGTCAGTGATGTCACATGTCTTCAGAGTCAGTGATGTCACATGTCTTCAGAGTCAGTGATGTCACATGTTCTCAGTGTCAGTGATGTCACATGTCCTCAGAGTCAGTGATGTCACATGTTCTCAGAGTCAGTGATGTCACATGTCTTCAGAGTCAGTGATGTCACATGTCTTTAGAGTCAGTGATGTCACATGTCTTCAGTGTCAGTGATGTCACATGTTCTCAGTGTCAGTGATGTCACATGTCTTCAGAGTCAGTGATGTCACATGTTCTCAGAGTCAGTGATGTCACATGTCTTCAGTGTCAGTGATGTCACATGTCCTCAGTGTCAGTGATGTCACATGTCTTCAGAGTCAGTGATGTCACATGTCTTCAGAGTCAGTGATGTCACTTCAGAGTCAGTGATGTAACATGTCTTCAGAGTCAGTGATGTCACATGTCTTCAGTGTCAGTGATGTCACATGTCCTCAGTGTCAGTGATGTCACATGTCTTCAGAGTCAGTGATGTCACATGTCTTCAGAGTCAGTGATGTCACATGTCTTCAGAGTCAGTGATGTCACATGTCTTCAGTGTCAGTGATGTCAGAGTCAGTGATGTCACATGTCTTCAGAGTCAGTGATGTCACATGTCTTCAGAGTCAGTGATGTCACATGTCTTCAGAGTCAGTGATGTCACATGTCTTCAGAGTCAGTGATGTCACATGTCTTCAGAGTCAGTGATGTCACATGTCTTCAGAGTCAGTGATGTCACATGCAGCTGGACTGGACTGGACTGGACTAAACTGGACTGGGAAAGAAACCTGGACACGGACACAGACCTGTGTGTTGAGACCTCTCCGTCTCCACGGCGACAGAACTTCCCGTCTCCGCACCGACAGAACCTCCCGTCTCCGCACCGACAGAACTTCCCGTCTCCGCACCGACAGAACTTCCCGTCTCCGCACCGACAGAACCTCCCGTCTCCACGGCGACAGAACCTTCCGGACCTTCTCCATCTAAAAGACTCTCCCTGGAAAACTCTACAAACAAGAACAGAGATAATCCCATAATCTGATCCAGGTCAAACCGGACTGGACTGGACTGGGCTGGGCTGGACTGGACTGGACTGGACTGAACGGAACTGAACGGAACTGAACTAAACTGAACTGGACTGAACTAGTCTGGACTGGACTGGACTGGACTGAACTGAACTGGACTGAACTGGTCTGGACTGGACTGAACTGGACTAGACTGGACTAGACTGGACTGGACTGAACTGGACTAGACTGGACTAGACTGGACTGGACTGAACTGGACTAGACTGGACTGGACTTGACTGGACTGGTCTGAACTGGACTAGACTGGACTAGACTGAACTAGACTGAACTGGACTAGACTGGACTGGACTGGTCTGAACTGGACTAGACTGGACTAGACTGGACTGGACTGGACTGGACTGATCCTGATCCAGTTTGTGGTATTAGATAAACAATAAGAACACATGGTATTGGACCATAGAGAGAGAGAACACATGGTATTGGACCATAGGGAGAGACCACATGGTATTGGACCATAGGGAGAGAGACCACATGGTATTGGACCATAGAGAGAGAGAACACATGGTATTGGACCATAGGGAGAGAGAACACATGGTATTGGACCATAGAGAGAGAGAACACATGGTATTGGACCATAGGGAGAGAGAACACATGGTATTGGACCATAGAGAGAGAGAACACATGGAATGTGTTTCCCCTCCATCTTCTGACCACCTGTGCAGTTGTAGACGTAAAAGTAAATCAAACCCAGTCTTTGCTTCGGGCCTTGCAGCGTTCATAGTAAAGGGAAAGGAGGAGGGGGGACTTGTAATAGGAAAGTTACACACTCCTCTCAGCACTGTACACAATAGTCATTAGGCATCCCATCTGCTCAACGCTTGCATGCTAAGATGTAATTTTGACTTCCTGTATCCGGTGAGCGTGTTTCTTGACTGCTATCACTCTGCTCTCTGCTCTAACAAACACATTACAAATCCACGTATTGTACACCAAGCTAACTGTGTAAGCACTCCGAGTCAGCTGTACTGCAGCTGAGGTTTAGGTAGCGGTTGTTTGTCTGGTCTCGGAGTCTGTTGTGCGGGCCCGGATCCGTACTAGCTTAGCCTAGCCTAGCTTAGCCTAGCCTAGCCGCTAACTCGCTACTATGGCGGCTGCTGTCTCTCCCTCAATCCTTTACTGCTCGAGTTGCCATATGGCGAGTCTAAACCCTGGATCCTTCTCTGAGGGTAGTGATAGATGTGTGAAGTGTAGTGTAGTCGTAGCTCTGGAATCCAGGGTCAGTGAGTTAGAGCTGCGTCTCCGAGCACTGGAGTCTCGAGCTAGCGCTAGCATTAGCTAACGCCAGGCCGTATCCTCAGGGACAGCGGAGCGCAGCTTTAGGGAAAGGCAGAGGAGAACTAGCGAGCCTAGCCTCCCAGCCCGTCCTCCGCAGCTGGGACAAGACCAGGATAGTGATGGCTTTGTGACTGTTCGGAGAGGGCGACGTGTTGTTGGTAGTTTCCCCATTGGGCCTCCTCCTGTTAGCATTTACAATCGCTGGGACGCTCTGGGCGGGGAAGAAGGCCCCACTGAGAGAGCCGCTGAGAGAGCCGCTGAGAGAGCTGCTGAGAGAGCCGCTGAGAGAGCTGCTGAGAGAGCCGCTGAGAGAGCCGCTGGGAGAGCTGCTGAGAGAGCCGATGGAGTCGCTGATGCGCTGGTAATTGGCTCCTCTATTGTTAGAGGTGTTAAGATCCCAGGAGCCACTGTTCGGTGCTTCCCTCGGGCCAGGCTTGGTGATATTGAAGGGAATCTGAGGCTCATGATGACCCACAAGCAGCGTTTCCGTCGAATTGTTATTCACGCGGGTGGTAATGACGTTCGGCGGAAACAGTCCGAGGTGTTGAAGCTGCAAGTCGCCGCGGTGTGCAAGCTGGCTAGCACAATGGCCGACACTGTCATCTTCTCTGGGCCCCTACCTAGCACTAGCAGTGCAGAAGCATTCAGCAGACACTCGGCTTTCAACCGCTGGCTGTCTGGCTGGTGCCCTCCAAGTGGTGTTGTTCATGTTGACAATTGGAGTGCCTTTTGGGGAAAGCCCGGTCTCATCCGCTCGGATGATATCCACCCAACGTTGGCGGGTACATCCCTTTTGGCTAAGAATTTGGCCCTGGCTCTAAACTGTTCTGCTCGGCTCAAATGACGATGCAGAACTGAGGCCCGGGTGCAGAGCTGCTCTGCCACAACCTCTGAGCCCCCATCTGTTCAGTTACTAGCCTCAGAGGCTAGTCAGATTGAAACTGTGTGTGCATGTGTGTGTGTGCCTGTGTGTGCTCAGTTACTAGCCTCAGAACCTAGTCAGATTGAAACTGTGTGTGTTCCCCGCTTGAAGTCTAAAGCACTATATGCGAGGAAATCTGACCTAGGTGTCAGACACAGTAACTTAATAAAAGTTCAGACAGACAGAAATAGTTCTAACAGTAGGGTTGTTAAATGTGGTTTAATGAACGTCAGATCAATCTCGTCTAAATCGCTTCTCATAAACGAACTTATTATAGACAAGGGCTTGGATCTGTTTGCGCTCTCGGAGACTTGGCTCCAACAGGACGAGTACGTTAGATTGAATGAGTGCACTCCTCCGACGCATGTTAACTACCAGAAAGCCAGAACTACAGGTCGCGGCGGTGGTGTTGCGATTATATCACACACCAACTTAGTTCTTAGTCCCAAAACCAACAATGCTTTTCACTCGTTTGAAAACTTAACACTTTCAATCACCTGTCCTGGGTGGAGAAAACAAAAAGCAGTACTATTTATAGTTTTATACCGACCTCCTGGTCCTTACAGCGAGTTCCTAACAGAATTCTCTGACTTCATTTCAAACCTAGTTTTGGAATGGGAAAACATAGTTATAGCTGGAGACTTCAATATACATGTGGACGACAGCACTGACAGCTTAAACAAAGCTTTCAGCGCCGTACTAGATGGTGTTGGTTTTACTCAGAATGTCGAGGAACCTACTCACATTCATAACCACACCTTGGACCTTGTCCTGACCTACGGCTGTGATGTCTCCAATGTTGACATCCAGCGTCAAAGCTCGTTGCTGTCTGACCATTTCTTGATCACGTTTGATCTCGCTTTGGAGGACTTTCCTGTCCCGCAAGATAAAACCATAATGAAAAGAACCTTAAATGATAAATCTATCACAAGGTTCAAAGAACTAATACAGCCTATGTTGAATACTGCTGCAGGTGAACCTGTTCACAGCAGCTGCAGTCCCTCAGTCATTGACCAAACGGTGGGCAACACTATGGAGTCTTTAAAATCTGCATTAAATGCAGCAGCTCCTTTAAAACAGAAAACCATTAGGATTAGATCATCGTCGCCCTGGTACAGTGTTCAACTCCACACTTTAAAACAGGACGTCAGAAAATTGGAGAGGCTATATCGCCACTCCCACTCGGAGCCTGTCCACAGGGAGTGGAAAGCAGGTCTCCGAAACTACAAGAAGGCCCTTCGCGGGGCTCGAACTCAATACTATTCAACTTTAATAGAAGCGAATAAAAACAACAGTAGATTTTTGTTTGGTACCGTCGCTAAACTCACAAACTGTCATAGCGCAATCGAGCCTAAAATTCCAAGCTCACTCAGCAGTGTCGACTTTCTCCACTTCTTTAATAATAAAATTACATCCATCCGTGACAAGCTGGAGGAGGTTGCTCCTGCTGTTAGTGGTGGACAGGTTGAAGCGACATACGTGACTTCCCACTTAGACTCTTCAGTGGGCCTCGATAAATTCATGGCTGTGAGCCAAGCAGAGGTGATCTCTGTGGTCACATCCTCAAAAGCCTCAACTTGCATGTTAGACGCAGTCCCGACATGGCTCTTCAAAGACATACTTCCTTTGATAATTGAGCCTATCGTAAATATAATAAACGCATCCATACAATGTGGCTATGTCCCACAAGCTTTTAAAACCGCGGTAATCAAACCCCTTCTGAAGAAAACAAACCTGGACCCAGAAATACTTACAAACTACAGACCAATCTCAAACCTCACTTTTATATCTAAAATCCTGGAAAAACTTATAGCTGAGCAGCTTCGCTGCCACCTGCAGGAAAATGATATGTTTGAAGTCTTTCAATCAGGATTCAGAGCTCATCATAGCACTGAAACGGCACTAGTCAAAGTCACAAATGACTTACTACTAGCTGCCGATAATGGACAAGTGTCAGTGCTGGTCCTACTGGACCTTAGTGCTGCATTTGACACAATAGACCACAGCATTCTACTGCAGAGGCTAGAATGTGATATAGGTCTTAGAGGAACAGCCCTTGGCTGGTTTAAATCCTATTTATCAGATCGATATCACTTCGTCAATGTGAATCAGGACTCGTCGCCTTATTCTGGAGTGGAATTCGGTGTGCCGCAGGGTTCGGTACTCGGACCGATTCTTTTTACTCTCTACATGCTGCCACTGGGAAACATTATTAAAAAGCATGGAATTAATTTCCACTGCTATGCAGATAACACACAGCTTTATCTGTCGATGAAGCCTAATCAGACAGATCAGCTAGAAAAGCTCAGTGCCTGCATAAAGGACCTTAAAATGTGGATGACTCTTAACTTCCTACTTCTCAACCCGGAGAAGACAGAAGTGATCCTACTCGGTCCGAAGCGCCTGCGTGACTCCCTCACTAACCAGATGGTTACTCTCGATAATGTCAGTATAATACCCAGTAACACTGTGAGGAATCTTGGAGTCATTTTTGACCAAGAACTCTCCTTCAAGGCTTATATAAGCCAAGCAACTAAAACGGCGTACTTCCACTTACGGAACATCGCTAAAATTAGGAATTTCCTTCCTAAAAGTGACGCGGAAAAACTCATTCACGCGTTTGTCACCTCAAGGCTCGACTACTGTAACGCTTTACTGGCAGCGTGCCCTAAAGCCTCTTTGAAGAGCTTCCAGCTCGTTCAGAATACAGCAGCTAGGATCTTAA